TTTTCTGTAGTATAATTCCTTTTAGGTGATAAATGAAGTGAATGAGTTGAAAAATAATCTAATTGTATAATGTAATTGTTTGTACATTTGAGCAGGTCAGTTGCAGAGTAGAAACAAGGACTGTGTATGGAGAACAATGCTGCCCAGGAGAAGCCTTTACTTTGACTTTTTCATTGTATGAAAATAAAGGCTGGTTCTGGAACGGTACTTTTCTGCTCAAATCGGTAATTGGTAAATAGTACGAGATGAGATTCTATGCAGTTTGGGCATTTGTAAAAACATTATACAGAAAAATTAATATTGTTTAGCTCCAGGAAAATTTATCTTTCTCAAATTCAAGACCAATAATTTAAAGTGTTTTAATAAAAAAAAAAAAAAGTGTTGAATATAATGAAATGCCAATTTCTGGATGAGCCCCGGAGATTCCCTGAAGCTATCTGAAGTGATATAGTGCTATATTAGTTGGGGTCATCAGTCAGTGTGTTTATGCCTACCGGGGACCACGAGCCAGAAACTGGCCCCCTTAGAGAGGTGCAGGGAGCATTGGTTTATGAGCACTTTACATTTAAAGTATGTCATACTTGCCATCGACCAGTGTAGGATCCAGAAAGGTAGGCAAATCAAAACAGACCGTTGTCTGGTTGAAAATTGCATGCCACGTCCCCAAAATAGCAAAGGAACTCCCACAGAAAGAAAAACAAACAAGCAATACTTCATCCAACTAGCCCATTTTCATTAGCGCTACCCCCCCCCCCGTCTGTGAGGGGGGGAGGGAGGGGGAGCCTCTGGGACTCGCCCAGAAACTGGCATTTCATTACATTCAATGCTGGCTTTCTGTGGGGAGCCACATTGTCTCCCTGAAGCTAAGTACCCACAGAGAAGGCAAGTAGGGCCTTACCAGGAAGGCGGTAACACCGCAGGTCTCAAAGCGAGGGAGAGACACCTGAGAAAAACGATCCCAGGAACAGGGAACCAGGGAAACCGGATCAACCCAGAGCACATCCACCGACTCGGAAGCTGGATAAGGTTTGCAGCTACCGGACACAGAACGTGATGTACCCCCAGCCTAACCAACCAAGCATCCGCACCTAACGGACCCCTTTGGAAGCCCGCCATCTCATTCTTCGCCAGAAAAGAAGATGGCTGCAAACAAAATGACCACCAGGAACAAAGAAACAAAACCCCCCTGTGACGGAGAAGAGCATGTAGTTCCCCAACCCGACCCCCAGAGGCCAAGGCCAACGAAAACACGCCTTCCAAAAACGAACTGAAGGGGCCACCTCAAACCGAGAAAAAGAAGGAAAAGAAAGAACCCGGTCCAAGAACCAAGAAGGCTCAGGCGGCCTTGCAACCAAGCAAATATAGCAGGAAGCGAATGGGTCCTCACACCAAATTTATATTTAATGTTTGAGGCCCTTGACTTGATCCTGAGCCAACTCAAATTAATGACAATGTCAAGTAGCAATTAAGGTGAAATATGGGGTCAGTACTTTAGAATAAGGAATGACATCAAAGGGATGTGTATTAAAATAAATTAATTTATTCAACAACTTATTTACTAATACACAATAAGTAAAGGGGTGGGTGGTGGCTGAGTGGACAGCGCTCTAGACTCGTGGACCTAGGGACCGGGTTTCGATCCCTCGGCACCGCTGGAAAAACAAATGAGCAGTTTCCTCCACCCTGATACCTAGCAGTAAATGGTACCTGGGAGTAAGACAGCTGTTACGGAGCTGCTTCCTGGGTGTGTGTGTGTGGGGGAGGGGGAAAAATCAGGTTATGGCTCGTGGTGTCCAGTAGGCTTAAGGACTCTGTGACTGATGACCCGAAACTAATATATCACTATATCAGTTCGGATAGCTTCAGGGAGCTGACGGGGCTCCCCACAGAAAGCAGCAGCATATTGATGAACCAGCACAGTTATGCACATGTTGCAGACATGTTGTCTTGAACCGTGGATGTTTGGAGTGACTACACTCATGATTGGATGGTCATGCAGTATCAGAGGTCAGTCAGGATATACCAGTCAGTGGTATATTGTAATTGTCTTGTGACACACTGCCTCATGATGCAAAGGAACCAGCATTCCCTTTGCACACTGCCCCTGATGTAAGGGGATCCAACATTCTCTTTGCACACTGCCTCTGATGTAAGGGGACCCAACATTCTCTTTGCACACTGCCCCTGATGTAAGGGGACCCAACATTATCTTGTTACACAATGTCCCAATGTAAGGGATCCAATATGTTTCTTAAAAAAATTTAATCTCCTACCTGAAATGTTTTGGAGAACATTTAATATATAATCTGTAACAATTGTTAAAAGAACTCTATTCATCCAATTAGTGGCTGATTGGTGCATTAAAGTCTTTCACTCTCTACCTTAATAAAATGTTATTTAATTCCAAACAAGTTTTAATACAAAGCAGTATATACATAAACCAGCATTGAATGTAATGAAATGCCCATTTCTGGGTGTGCCCTGGTGGCCCCCTGAAGCTGTGTTGCTGACGTAGCTTCCTAATACTTACCCACATCAGTCATAGTTGTCTTACTGGTCTGCCAGAGAACAGAGCCAAAATGTGGGCCCCTTAGAGAGGCACAGGGAGCAGGGATACAAAATAACTCCTTGGCTTGTGAAAACAAAGTGCCAAAACAGCCAATATCATCATCCCACTAGCAGATGGCCAAGCCAACATACCGTAACCTACATTCAGTCCATTGCTGATGGGCCACGAACTAAGCTAGCTGGTAGAGGTGGGAGTGAGTTAGGGAGCCACCGGGGCTTAACCAAAAAGTGGCGTTTCATTACGTTACAGGAAGGAGGAGGAGCAGCCACAGCTATAAAGTTGAAGAAAAGCCAGGTTGGTAGTACCAGCCCAGGGCAAGACAAGCCCCCATGGGACTCTGTTTTGCCCAAGTCCTTTAGTGTTCTTGTGTGTGTGTGTGTGGCTTAGGGGGGATCCCAAGGAGGGTTACAAGGTCTTCTTTCACCCTGCATCCTGTCCTCAGACCAAGTCCATTCCATCCAGCGGTCGACTCCAAAGACGCATTCATAAATTTTAATATGCTGTTCATTCAAAATAAGAATTTTCTCAAATATAAATTATTATTATTATATATTAGCATATTGTGCATATTTAGGCATTGGTTAGGTTAGGTTAGGTGTTTAGGTTTTGTTAGCAATTATTGGTATTTGTAGTACATGAGTGAAACATTTACAGCGTTGGGGTTTGAATAAAAGTCGTCTGCGAAGCACTATTCGAGAAGTGTTCGAAAGTCATCAGTTGTTAGTCGTGTGTAAACTGTTTTTCATTCATAAACGGGATTTGCTGGGTGCATGTAATCACTTTTGGCCTTTGTTTATGAGGACAGGCTGCACCCTGTTTATGAGGACAGGCTGCACCCTGTTTATGAGGACAGGCTGCACCCTGATTGATCATTGGTTCTCTCTGCAAAAAGGTATCCACTTAGGGCTGAGGGTTTGGTATATCCACATTCAATATTTGAGACAAACAAAAATATTTTGTCTTCTACATCTGGCATGGCTGTTAGCTCTGCTCCAGTACCTTGTTCCTTGGGTATCTGGTGCTGGAAGGGACCTTGAGTTTGGTAGTTGAATTCCTTTTCACCCTATATATGGTCATTGGTTTCCCCTAAGGAGGGCAATTCGGTTAATGTGGAGGGTGTGTTGTACCCCTCTTCCATTACTTGACATGATCGGTGGCTCACCTCCGTTATATGCTTTCAGGTTCAAGTTGAGTCACTGGAGGTCTTGGACGTGTGGAGGTTTTCAAATTCCTATCTCTTAGTGCCGGTGCCACATTTAACTTTTTTTTTTTTTTTTTTTTTTTTTTACAAAGTTTTCCTTCAGGATCTGGACCAAGCATCTTTGATGGACCCATCTCTCTTGAACCACTTCATATTTGTTGTGGTATGATGTTCCTGCTTTGCTTAGAGTGCTTATAGGCAATCCTCTTCTTTTTTTTTTTCCTTGGGGGCCATGCATGACTTTTGCAGTTCCCTGATGTTTGAGATGTATAAGGGGAGTTTTCAATCTGTCGCACTTCTGGGGAAAGCCTTTTGTGGCTCCCTAAAACTATACACAGAGATGGCTTCATTCTAGCAGACTGCATCAGTCATGGAGTTGTTAGGCCTACTTGGGGCCAGAGCCAGCACCTGGCCTCCCCCTCACAGAAGTGCAGGGAGCGGTGACCACCTCAGGTTGCCACCTCACTGGGGAAGACATCTACAAAGTCAGGTTGTCAAAACAAACCACTGCTGGGTTCTAAGAGAGAAAGACCTCACACCCTGTTTAATGAACACCCTCAACTATGTAAACAAATTATCAAATCTCTCGAGACTAGCACGAACCAGGTATCGACCAGCTTGTTCACCTTATCTTCCCTACTTGTTTGGAGGGAAGGGGCTAGCCACTGAAGGGGCCTGAACTGTCAGTTTTTACACTGGCATGGCTGGGGTTACCTGACTACTGTAGTGGTTCTTGGGTTGCCTCTTAAATGTGGGTTCCTTTGTTCACTTAAGTGATTTTAGGTATTTGCCTTTGGTGGCTTTTTCTGTATGCTGTAGTGTAGCATGAACCTGACTTCTAGAGTGACTGGAGCTGCACATACTCAGGGTTACCTTGCCTGTGGGCTCCCTAGCACTGTCCTTGTATTGTCAGGGTTGTCTTCTCTAGAGTGTGAGTTGCTCCTTTAGTGCTCCTAACTGCTTGTAGTGGCTCTTGCCCTCTACTCTTGTCGGTACGTTTCCCTACAGTGCGCTGAGATGTGCCATCACAGCTGTGTTCCACAGGCTGTCGGCTAAATTATGTCCAGCGTAGTGTTCCCAGTGCATGGGTGTCCTTCTTGATTTACCCTTTATGCTCTGGAAGCCCTACTGGAGGTTTGGTGGTCTTATGGATAAACCCAATTCATTTTCAATTTCTTTCTTTCTTTATTATGCACCCCATACCCATGTCGTGGGCAGTGGTGTAAAGGA